TGCTGCTGGGGTCGGCATGGCCGGCGTACACGGCCTGCCAGTCAGGATCTGTTCGGTAACCCTCCACCAGCTGGGGGTAGAGGTCGCTGGAAAGTTGGAGCACGGTTGTGCTGCCTGGCGCTGAGGTGGTCTCGTTGGCCTGGTTCGCGGCCGCTGCCACAAAGGCAACGCCGCCATCACGGATCGCCGTGCCATCCTCGTCCTCACCTAGGACTGGCTCGGCGGCAGTAAACGTTGTAACGTCCTCGTCCTTCACGTGCATTCGTGAGAGGGCGTCAGCGGCCACGTTGTGCTGGCCTGGTAGGTAAATCACACGCATATTAACGTGCTGAAGCGTATCCATCCACCAACGATCAAGGCGCCTACGCTGGGGTACTGGGCCCTGAAGCTTGGTGGTCTCGAGATACTGGAGAGAGCGGTGGTCAGTGTACACGTCGACAGTCTGGTTGCCAATCAAGTGGGCGTAGCGCTTAAGCGCGCGCACAATGGCCAGCAACTCTTTGTCACGGACAGGGTAGTTCAACTCGGCGTCGTGGAGCTTCTGCGAGAAGCAGTCCACTATGCGGCCTTGTTGAGAAAGAACGGCGCCGATGCACTCGTCAGAGGCGTCCGTCTGCAGGGAAAAGGGATACTGGCCCGAAGTGTCTGGAATCATGAGCACGGGGCCATCGAGAAGAGCCTTTTTGAGGTCCTCAAAGGCTGACTTCATCTGAGGGGTCCACGCCAGCTTGACGCGCTTGAGACTGTTCTTCGCACGATCAGTCAGCGGCTTGGCGAGCTTGGAAAACGAAGCAATGAAACGGCGGTAGTAGTTGGCGAAGCCTAGGAAACGTTGAAGTTGAGTGGTGGTAGCAGGAAGTGGCCAGTCCCGGAGGGCTGCCAGCTTCGAGGTCTGCATAGCAATGTTGTTGCGGCTCACGGTGTGGCCCACAAAGTCGACCTGGTCCTGGAAGAAGGAGCACTTGGCGATGTTGCACTTGAACTGCGCATCGCGAAGTCGGTCGAGAACACGTCGAACGTGACGTTCATGGTCAGCCCACGTTGGACTGTAGATCAAGATGTCGTCGAGGTAGACAATGACAAAGTCGTCAAGAAAGTCGCCGAGGAGCTGATTCATGGTCCGCTGGAACGTCGCAGGAGCATTGCACAGGCCAAACGGCATAACGCGAAACTCGTAGGAGCCATAGCGCGTCGTGAAAGCAGTCATGGGCACGCTGTCGGCGGCCATGGGTATCTGGTGGTAGCCGGAACGGAGGTCCAGCGAAGTAAAACAGGTTGCGTCGCGGAGACGGCTTAAGCAGTCCTCAATCCGTGGCAGTGGATATGCGTCTTTGACGGTAACCTTGTTGAGGGCACGGTAGTCGACACAAAATCGCCAGGAGCCGTTGGACTTTTTTACGAGTAGCACAGGGGATGACCAAGGGCTGGTCGAAGGCTGGATGACCTTGTCTCGAACCATATCGGTCAGGAGCTGCTTCAGTGCGGCCAATTCGGCTTCGCCTCGGCGGTAGTCTCGCTGCTTGACGGGTTGCGCATTGTCCGTCAAGATAATTTTGTGTTCAGCAGATTCTACGCCTCGCATAGCCGGCGCCGGCGCCTGAGTCGGTCCGTCGTCGAAGAGGTCAGAGTACTCGTTTCGAATGTCGTCGATCAGAGCATCGCGGTCGTTGGAGGTGGACGAAGACCGTCCTAGGGTGGCTGAGAAACAGCGCACAGAGTTGTCCGGCGTCGTAGAGACCCAGACGAGATAGGCGGCAGCAGACTTCTGCCGAAGGAGTGAACGGAGGCCAATAGGTGTTGGCGACTCGATGAAAGGCAGCTGTACAGCGCCTGGAAAGGTCGCGGTCCGTTGGCGAGCAGAAATAACAATGTCGTGCTCGCTGAGGAAATCGCGGCCCAGAAGAACGTCGGCGGCGTCGAAGAGAGCAACCACCGGAAAAGAACGGGTAACGGTCAGGGGACCAAGCTGTAAGGACACCTCGGTGTAAGTCTCGACAGGTATACGTGTGCCGTTGCCGAAGATGACATCAAAAGGTGGTCCGTTGCGCGTTGGAAGGGATAAGGAGGATGCCAGCTGTGCCGATAGCAAAGAGCGGTCACAGCCAGTGTCAAAGAGGAACGTCACCGCCGTTGACCCCATAGCACCCACGCACATCAAGGGGCCAGGGTCCTGGCGCGGTGAAAAAACAGAAACCGAATTGATAACCACAGGTCGGGGCTCCTCACGAGGTGGGAGTGAATCTGTGGCTGAGGTACGTGCTGCCTGCGATGGCACGCCCTCTGGGTTGGGGTCCGGGGAAGTAGAGGATGCAGGTTCCCCGACCCCGGGCCCTAGTTTTTTGGGCACGCCTTGCTCTGGTGGTCATCGGCGAAGCAGTGGTAGCAGAGATGATGCTTTCGAGCAAAGGTGTGGCGAGCTTGTTTGTCGCTTTTGTTGAGCTTGGTGAACTCTTCGGAATTGCGGAGCTGAGCTGGAATGCGGAGCGGTGGACGGCTGGGAGAGCTGGCGGCCTGCTTGTTAGCTGCCTTGGGTCCGGCGGCCGAGTGGATCGTCGGCCCCTTGTGCGCCGTCCGGTTGCTTGGCACGCTGAAAAGAGTATCACGAGTCGGGACGTAACCATCGAGAGCTTCTTTCACGATTCTAGTCAACGTGGTCGCTGGACCAGATGTAGCCTGGTGTGCCGCAGTGGCGAGACGCTCCACCAGTCGGCTGCAAGTGCACTGGCGCTGGAGCTTGCACAGCATCTGGAGCTTGGTCAACATGGTGTATTCAAGCGGTTCGTGCTGAAACATGCAATCAACCGCCTGCACCCACTCATCGAACTCAGCGAGTCCAGTAAAATTGCTCGTCGAAGCGTCCAACATTCGGGCCAGGGCGGCGACGCCCAAGTGAAAACCAAACTGTTTGTGCAGGTGCGCTCGGGCGTCTTCCAAGGATGCTGGGGTTGTGTCCGGACTTGCAAGGTTGCGGTGTAGGGCACCTTCGAGGAAAGGTACCATGACATGGTCCCAATGGGAAGACCAGGTTGCTGCCAGGTTCGCCTTGAGCTGATGGTTCATGTGCATGGTCACAGCAATGTAGGCCGAGAAGTAAGGATCAAAGCCAAAAGTCTGTAGGCGTTGCGACTTCTTCTGGAGGTTTGCTCGGAACCCCTGGATCACGTGCGAGGCGAGCGGAGCCATTGTGGTCATTGGCTCCATGACATGTTCCGCGACAGGCTCCGCGACAGGGTCCGTGTCAGGTTCCGTGTCCGATTCCAAGTTAAGCTCGTGGGTTCCTTGGCCAGGGGGCCCAGTTCGCGAACGGGTGCGCGAGGACATGCTATCCAGCGCAAAGATTGAAGAAGGGCGGTCGGTCGATCGAAGTTTTCAATCGCTACCATGTCAGGCTCCAGCACGTCTGGGGGCCGTCTTTGGGTTGCGAGGAAGCGCGTAGGTTTGAGGAAGCGTTTGAGAGAGGTTTGAGAGACGTCCGTCGGGACGGAGCGAAAGCTTTGGTGGTGTCTTGGGGTCAATTGAACCAGCTGCGGTCGGCAAGCATTCACAGTGACCAGACCAGGTGCACCGTTAGAATAGCTGTAGAGTCGCTCAATCCCGAGGATAGGGAAAGTCACAAGAGAGCAGAGCACACAGGAGAGCAAAGGGGGGACAGAATGGCAGGGGGCTTGACGTACCTGCGGTCGGCAAGCATTCACAGTGACCAGACCAGGTGCACCGTTAGAATAGCTGTAGAGTCGCTCAATCCCGAGGATAGGGAAAGTGCAACTCGTGCCCGACCGCAGGTACCCCAACAAAGGGAAACAACAGTAGTCACAAGCTTGTTGCCCCAGGGCAGCTGCCCAGGCATCGTGGGGACCGCGTCACACGCGGTGTTTACTCATGTGACTCCCACGAGGAGGACCAGGCCCAGGGGGTCCAAGTGTAGGTGTCAGTGTGAGGTCGTCGCAGCTATGGGATACCAATAGGAAGACCCATAGCGACCGATGCTGAGTGTGTGCGAAAGCAGTGGGAGTGCTCAAATGCGTGGAAGCACGGATTTGACGCTAACAGTGGGTCGAGCATAGTGTCGTTCAAAGGCGCGCAAGAGGCCAGGGACCTTGTCGGCCACAATCTCGTGCAGCCGTGCTTGGTCGGTGTAGTTGAAGGCACTCTTGAAGTCGAGGGAGAGCATGGTCCAGCCCGGGGTAGACTCACAGGCTTGAAGCTCACCAAAGGCCATGCCAACCGCAGCTGAAATGCCGTCCTTGACTCCGACGGCCAGCTCTGGACTGGCCTGTAGGGAGTGGGCAATGGAGCAATGTAAGAACGCTTTTTTGTACGAGGTCAGCCCGGACGGCACCAAGAGGTCGCGCACGGCCTGTGAGATTCCTCACCTGTGTGCTTCCTTGCAATCCAAAGCGCACCTTGACAACCCGTGCAGCCTAAGACCGGCAGGAATGACGTCTCCGTGGGCTAAGCTATGCCGAAAGAGCTCATGGAAACAAGGCCAAGGCCTTGCGAATCTTGTTTGAAACTACCCAGGCCAGCGCAGATCGCACCGGCGCTCAACAGAACCCGCATCTTTGAGGCAATGATAAATCAGATGCCAAGTTCAGACCCTGCAGTCGTGTCTTTAAGTCAAGCTACACCAGCTATCGGAGTTCTCCAGTTGGTGTCGTAGTCCAGTAAATCATGGTAGGTAGGAGTGTGTGAAGTTGGGCACGAGGAGACCCACAGTGGGCAATCCTAGATGGGTGCAAAAGCATTGAAAGCGTCTTGACATGTCAAAAAAACAAGCGGGGACATCAGTCCGTGGATGATCGGATTTGACATTCGTGTGATGTTGATTGTGTCATCAATTGGCCTTGGCCTTGCTGCCACCTCCGAGATGATTCTGTTTATTTTTTTGTGCTAAAACGCGTTGGGCAACACCCAAGGCTTTGTGGCTCAAATTTCTCCGCTCGGCGGTAGCGGATGATTTTTGCCTAGATTTCTCTTTGCTTGCTGCGCCCATGTCCTTAAACTCTGCTAGCGACGGGGTGGCAGTAGCTTGTCGCCTTCGTCGCTCAATAATCACCACGTAGATCATGGCATGTGCAAAGTCAGAGAGATAGGTGCAAAAGTAAAGCAAAAAGCTGAAGAGTGCGGCAATCTCGGCTATGGCAGCGATAAGAAGTAGGTTCATATCTCGTTGCTCCCAGTGATGCGCTCCCAAGTACAGAAAGGTGAGGAAGATCACCACACACAGAGCGGTGAAACCGACAATGCTGCGACGCAGTCGCAAGGTCCATGGTGTAGAAAGCTGCGAAGAAAATAAAACACGCATTGAATCATGAAAGAGATCAGTTATGAAGAGGGCTCAGCAGTGACAGCGACTGACAGCAGAGTGACACGGGTGATGCAAACCGGTAGACAACCGACCTTGAATCTTGCATCAAGATAACACTCTATGGTCGTGTGACAAACGCCGACAGTAAAAAAAAGGACTGCAAAAACATTGTGACCAATCCCATGCAAATGTCGCTGCGACATGACAAGCGCACGGCAATGTAAGACGTGATTGAAGCGCGATAGCCGGATTGACATGTAAATCGAAACCAGTGTGCCGTTCTGATCAGAAAAGAGCAAAAGGCGCTCAATGGCGATCTCTGCCCACCTGAAAGGCGCCAACACCCAAGACTGCAAAGGAGGCCAGCATGCCAAACGTCATGGACAAACGATGTACAAAGGTTGCTCGACCTAAGAGTCGTCGTTTGATGAGCTAACAAGGTTGGATGAAGGAACAAAGGTGTGAGAGGCACGTTATGAGAGGCCAGGTAAAGGGCGCAAACCTGAGAGCTATCTACAGACAGTCCACAAACATTTGCATTTAAGACGGCAAAGCAGTGTTTTGGACGATTCCAATACCTTGTGTCTGACCACAATGACAAGGATCAATGCGATGCAGCTGCACGACAGGCCAAGCGTTCCAACGTGACTTGCTATAGCACGCAGCACGGGCAAAGTAAGTACAGCCAGCCGCAAAGCCATTCTTTGGAAATCCAATTTCAGGCGCGAGAAGCGAATTGTAAAATTGGATGAAACGCTCAAGAGGTCATGGAAGGCCAGGGACGATTGTTTCACCTGGGCTGCGATCAATCGAGGCCGAGAGAAAATATCCTATTGGTGCCATTTGACCGGGCAAAAGCAAACGGTAAGGGCCAGTGGAAAGAGATAGGGTTCATCAATCGAAAGTTGCACAACAACCTTGCGAGGCAAAGACAGGAGTTCCATCATCCATGCTCAGATGCCGAGTGATCGAGTAGGAGATTCCAAAGGTCAGCAGCTGGGTCACAAGTAGCGCTGCCAACAAGATCGTGGGCCGCCACGTCATTTGAAAATTAAAAATAGAAGCAAATCGTCGAAATCGGGGATGCTTCGCGAGCATCATGCGTTCGCGTTGGGCAGTTTTGTGGCGCTCGGCCCATGAGGCATGCTGCACCCGCAGGGAGGAGATGTAGTCGAAGCACGAGCTAGAGGTGAGCATGATGTGATCTGCAAGAACTTCCATATCTGTTCGCAATGCTTGTAAACGTCGCATGACAGTCGTGCTGCTGCTTTGCAGAGTTAGGGCTGCTAAGGCCTAGAAAAGAGCCCTCAATGAGCGACACGCTACAGGCAAGTTGAAGATGGACCACGGCACATGTTTGAGACCATGCGCAAAGACCAATTTTTTTTTGTTTTTTCCACTGCCCTCTCTCGTTTGGATGAAATCGAGTGTCCTGCCAATGGTCTCAGCGAGGTGGAAGAGGAGAGGAGGAGGAGGAGCAAGGCGGTGATGTTGTTACCGCAAACACCGCTTTCTGTCAATATCACCTGCCTTGGGGTTCTTTGCAACTGGCCTCTCTTCCGGGGTTTCATTGAAATTATTGGTTGCATTGGCGCCACTGCCAAGGCGACGCAGATATTTTTTCAATATCTTAGTCAGGGAGGCACGGTTGATGAGGACGAAGCGACGTAAGGCCTCCACTCGCTCCTGAAGGGTAACAAAGGCGTGCAAGAGGGTTTCGGCTTCTGCATTGCCATGAACGGTTGGGTCCTGTATGGCAATCACCAAATTGGGGTGAGGCGCAGGGCAGTAGAGTGCAGACTCCATCGCATACACATACCAAAATATCAAAATCTCCAGTTATGGTTCGCAGTACACCTTCGCGAAGTGCTACGTCGGAATCGCCACTGCCCCAAAAGAGAAGCTCTGAAGCCTCGAGGGTAGCAAACACAAACTGATCAACTTTTGTAACTTCACGCTGAAGGATCGCCATCGAGGTTGGTGTAGAGCAAAGGACAATCAGAAGGCGACTTTTAGTGCACAATGAGAATTTGGCGCAGCCAGCCAACCGACCTTGAGCAGGGATTCAAAATGTTGAAGAGTATGCGCTGCAACCTCTGGGTCAGAGGCCTCTGTGCACTCTCGAACAATGTCTTTGAGGGTATTATAGTCCATGTAGTAGTCCTCCCAACCTAGGGTGTGGGGTGTTTTTTTTTTTTGAAAGTGAGGGCGAGTCGGAAACTTCCTCCCCGCATCAATGTCTGGCTCACTAAAGACCAAGGATCCTCGAAATGAGTGCTAGCCGCACCTTCCTCGCGTAAACTGTGCAGCAAGCGCCTGCCAAATTTCATGACGACCGGTCCTGAAAGATACAACGCCTTGGGCAGCCCAGGATGGTGTGGCAAAGAGGCTCGGCTGTGCGTTGCAATGCCGAAAAAAAAAAGAATGCTCCACGTTCTCTGAGCACACACTGCCCTTGGCCAGCTGCTGCTGGACCGCCACAAGCCGCTGCTCGTGCTCACCGGGACTGCGCCACTCAAACACACAGCGAAGAAACTGAAAACACTGACATTCATCACAAAAAAAAAAAAAGAGGGTGGACAAAGAGAGAGATGACAGAGATGACAGAGCAGACAGAGCAGAGAAAGAGCAGAGAGAGAGAGAGAGAGAGATGAAGTGGTACAGAGACAGAGAGGACAAAAGAATTGATCCAAAACAGAGAATCTTTGTAAAAGCCGCAGGTTACGTGTGTGTGTGTGTGTGTGTGTGTGTGTGTTGTTTCGTGTCGCTTCGAAAGCCAGATGAGCCCAGAGGACTGTGACGTCTGAATTTGATCAGTTCAGGATGGCGAGAGTGAATCGCGCATGCAATCAGCACCAGAACCAGAAACCAATAATGACGAAAAAGAAAGAGAAATAATAGAACACGAACAGCAAACAAACAAGGGCGGCAAAAGTGGCCGCTGGCCGCACGAAAACAAGAGCAACGCAGAAGTCGAAGCAAGATCAACTCTTCTGAGTCGTGAGATGCCAGCACCTTGAAAATCAAAAACAGCGACACAAGCCAAGGGTACAATCCGTCGGAAGCTTCTCTCTATTAGTGCCTAGGCGTCTAGACCGTGGATTCAAAGGGCTGTTGCTGCAGCTGCAAGGTGCGCCCTGTCCAACTGTCTTGCCACTCGAGCTGCAGTTGAAGGTCGACCGACTGTCGCGCACGTTGATAGCGATAAGCGGCCATACCCAAGGCTGCGACCAGCACACAGGCCGCGACTGCCATGCCAACTATGGCACCGGGAGTTGCCAATACATTTTGATCTGAGCTGCTCCCCGAGTCTTGCTCAAGCACGGACACGCCGTTCCCTGACTCGGGTCGACGTGTGGTCGGGCGATGTTTTGCTGTTGCTGTCGTGGTGACGGGTCGGCGTTCGGGTGTGCGAGGCATCGTGGCAATGGTTGGGGTCGGCAACAACGTGGGCTCAGGTGAGGGCAGCAGCGTGGTTGGGTCCGGCAGCTTTTGAGTAGTGGTGGGAGGGCGTCGGGTGGTGGGGTTGGTGCCATCTTCACCTGCCAAGCGGCTGGCAAACTCGACAATAAGGTTCGCATCCATGAGTGCCTCCATGTTTGGAACACGCATCAAGTGGTACTCCACAGTCGACGAGACCGCAGCCATGAGTTGTGCCTCCTGCTGCTGTACGTCATTGCTATCCTGCACGGCGATGGCAAAGATCGTGACGCCCATTTGACGCAATTGTGTGGCTTGACGCGCAACTTGAGCGACTGTGTCATCAGCAGCGCCGTCGAGCAGAATAACCAGAATACGGCGATGGTCGGCGGGCAAGGAGAGATCTTGAAAGTAGCGCGCGCCCGTAAAACTCAAAGCCTCAGCCAAGGAAGAAGCACCACCCGTCCATTTGGCGGATTGCAACGTGTCGACCAAAACCTCCACCGAGGTAAAGCGTGAAATTGGCTGCACGCGATCATCAAAGGAGAAAGCCCCCATCTGAATCACACCGCTATCAAAGGTCAGTAGTTGAGCCAGGCTGCTGGCCCAGGTCACCTGGCGCTGAAAGCCCGCATAGCCCACAGAAGTCGAGTCGTCCAGCGCTAGCACGATGTGTGCCGAAAACGGAGTCAAAGGAGAGACGCACTCGCCGTCACGATCAACAAAAGTATCCGGACACGTGTTCGCACAGGCATGGCCCAGTGACAAGCGCCCGTCCATACACGTGCGACACTGTTCATGGCCTCCTGCTCGCTCGCAAGTACGGCAGTGTTCATCCGCACAGGCACAGGCTACGTTGGTTTCATGGATGAGGCCATCCTGGCAAATCAAATTCTGGTGATCGATCTCGTAGTCGAGGCAGAGTGCCACTTCGACAATCATTTCTGTGCTTGCGAGGAGTGCGCCTGTATGCTTGAGAGCAAAAGTCGCATCGTTGGCACCGGCGAGGGTACGCAGGACGGCCGAGTCGGCTCCTCCCATTCCAACCGCCACCAGGCGGTCAGCGGCAAGCCGAATAGTTTCAATGTTCTCAATCGCGGAGGACGGGTTCAGATGGGCATTGGGTGTAATCAAAACGATGACCTTCTCAGCCCAAGGACGAGCACCGGCTTGCAGGTTGTCCAGCAGTTCGGCGGCCATCGCGAGGGCGGGACCAAGGTCCTGGTTTGAACTGAAGCGTTGCCCTGCATTCGACAACAAAGTCTTGAGCTGCCGCAGCGGGGTGGCATCGGCAAAGGAAAACTCCACATGCGCCGTGTCTGCTGCCACAACCAGGGCTGGACGAGTGTTGGGGCCCGCTTGTGTCATGAAGTGACTGATAAACTTTTTGTAGCTTGCAAAATCCGAGGCCTCGGTGTGGTCGGAGCCATCAAGTACAAACACCACGTCTTGTGCACGCTCCCAGCAGGATTTGCCCTCGTTCGAACCGGCGGTGGTGGTAGTGGCTGTGGTCGTGGTCAATGTTGTCGATGGTTTAGGCTGGCTGCTACGTGTCTTGGTTGGGGCAGCCGGGGTGGTTGTAACTGCCGGGCTCGAGGACGCATGGCTGGCACAAGCAAAGCTGTCAACCAATTCTGAGGCAAATGACAACTCCAACAGCTCAGCGTAAGCTGGAACCTACAACTCGAGTAAAGGAAAAGTCCAAGCGTATGGCTTAGTATGAGATGCCGTTTATTAAACAAGCAGCATGAAAGATGCAGATAGCCAAAGAGAGCACAGTGGTGGCTGCTCTGTCGGGGGAGGTGAGGTGAAAGGGCTCCGGCACCAGACGCACCTGAGTGACATATTCGTCAGATGTGGCAATGAGCCCAAGCTCGGCGGCATCAAGTCCATATCCAACGCCAATCGCATGAACGTAGACATTGTCCGTTTGAACACGGTCAATACCCGCGCGCAAAACATCCTCTTCTTCGAGGGTATGACCGTCCGTGAGCAGAACGATGTTCAGAGGCTTGGAAGGGTCGGCCCGTGTGTCGACAAAGATGCCGGCGGTAAATTCCAGCGCCGCGCCTGTATGCAAGGTTGCGAATGCAATCGGGTGTGAATCGAACGCGCAGGGGAAGAGGATCAAGCTGCAAGTGTGCCTTTGAATGATTGTTGGAGCGAGGCTGGTGGAAGCCCGTACCGGTGGCCGTTGAGGTGGAAAGGTATGGGGTGCGAAGGATGTTCTGCTTGTACTGCTTTGGGGTGCCATGTGTGTACAAGTCAAAGACCAGTTCGGGCTCGGTGCCGAAAACCACCATGCCCATGCTACAGGTAATGGTAGGCGAACATCAGCGGTGAGCCAGACCGAGGAATAGCCACAGTTGCACGTTCACCTGGAGTTGATGTATCTTACCGGCTTGAAGTCAAATCGAGTTGGTCCACGAGGTTGGATACAAACTGTAAAGAGTGTTGGAAGGCTTGCTTACCAACCGAGGAGGAGGCGTCCAGCACTACCACGACATCGCCACATGCTACGTAGAACGGAGGGGACCAGGGCACAAGAATTGAGCGGTTCTTCATGCGCTGCGGTAGGTGTGATTTCAAAGCTTTCATTCCACCTCTGAAAGAAAGCCAAAGGTGCCAGGCAGCGACGCCCGAGCACCGTCAAGGCATCACAAGGGGCTTTCAAATGACCGGCACACGTACCGTGGCGAGTTGCTGTGGCACATGCCAGCAGGGCCAGGAAAGTAAGCAGACGCATCTTGCTGCTTGTGGCGTCTGGTTGGACTATCTTTTTGCGGCCTCCGTTTGTTCGTCGGCCGGCGTCGAGGGAGGTTCGTCAAAGGTGGACGAGATCAGTGTCGAGAAGTAGGGTAAAACAAGATCTCTGTGGGCTCGGGCCACAGAGATGCCAAAACAAGAAAAAGTCACGAATGCACCACCGCGCGGGTCGCGGGTCACGGGCAGAAGTGTAACTCGAGGAGCGGGACCCGCTGAGAAACACTTGGCACGCTTGAAAAACCAACAAGTGCAGCGATTGGGTGCGGGTGCACTCTGCGCGAGGGTAGGAGCTGGGCAGTTGGTCTGGTGCTGGACTCGCTCAACTTTGGCTGGGGTCTTGTGCAGTAGGTGCAAAGGACGAAGCGGGGGTAGAGAGTTGGGAGGTAGCAGGAGGCAGCTGAGACAAGTCTTGGGCTCTGGCCAAGACGGTCTACAGCGCACAAGGCTCGTGAAGACACGAGCGACAGGTGGTGACACTGAGAATCACCGCCACAAAAATGAGGGGCTCCCGGCGCGTGTGGTAGAGGCCAATCGATCATACTGCCTCTCATTATGCCAGTGGTGGAGCCTTTGGGGTGTACGCCAGAGCAAAGGCTGGCGGTGGCGACGACGGAAGCGGGTGGCGGCGAGCAAACATGCATGCCATGGTTGGTGTGTGGCAGCAGCAACCCGCGGCGCTTCACGGTGAGGGCCGTGGTCATCGTTCGTGGTTCCAAGGGTATATAAAAGGGCAAGTTTTCATGCTGGACGGTCTTTGGTGGACCGATGACAGAATCAACGTCTGACCCTCATGAGTGTTCGCAAGCACAATGGAGAGATGCCCTGCGGGAAGCGAGAAAGCGCGAGAGCGAGAAAGCAAGAGGGGAGAAAGCGAGAAAGACAACAGTCAGAGAGAGGCTGGATTAAGCTGGCACATCAAGAGGGTGCGCGCACGACCGGACAATTGTAGTTTTTGTTTTGTTTTTGTGTTTCTGTTGCGAGCTAGCCCAGGAGGCAGCCAAAAGTGGGAGGCTGGAAGCCGGAGAGGAAGGGAAAGAATGGGTGTGGCTGACCGGGCGACGGGACTGTTGCGCAGACAATGACCAGGTCATCCACATATTTGCGGGGAATATGCTGCCTTGACCGTACCTGGCAGTGTCAGGATGGGTGGGTATGGGGGGACGAGTATACAAACCGCCAGCAGCCTTTGCATGTTGTTGGTGGAAGAGGGGGAACGTTGGGGGAGGGATATGCTTCGAAGCAAGGCCAAGACACATGCTGACAGTTGGGGGTGAGGACATACAAATGATTGGTTGGTCTATCCCCATGTCCTTCCCCTTGCCCGCCGGGGGATTCACCGCTCTCGTTGACGCTTCAACTGCATGCCATGGACCGTCGCCCAGGCGCAGCTCATGTTGCATGGGTCAGCCACAGCCTTTGTCCTCATTCGCCTTGAAATGCAGAACCAGTCATTGACGTGTTAGCGAACTTGTCTTGCAGATGAGCCGGTCAACACCGCAAGAACGCTTTGCGCCAGCTCGCCCGATGCTATCCAAGCCGGCCGCCCGGTTGAGGATGGAGACGATCCCTTGGGCCAAGCGATGGTATGCACTGGATGCATGCACTGCATGCAAGTTGAGGGGGAACCGCCAAACACCTGTTGTCGACTATAAGACTCAAGAGACATGTTGTGAACAGATATTCAAAACTGTAGTTTTTCTGTTTGTGTGTCACTGACCACGATGGCGGAAAGCGAAACGCCCACCGCAACCGCCGCCACTGGCAACAGCAACGGTCGTGTGCACGAGGCCGTGGCTGCTTCGGCACAGCCCGAGCTCAAGGCAGATCCCGTGCAGGCAGGCCCTGAAGCCAAGCGCGTTAAAGCCGATGAAGGTGAGCGTTTGATCTCTTTCTGGATATCTTTCTCCTCTGGGCTCTGGGGTGTCCTTTGCGCCCCTTGTCGTTCGGGGGGGGGGGGGGGGGGTTTGGTTTTTTTTTTTTCCACCGTGGCAGTCACTTTTGTGGCCCCAACACACACCCAGCTTCTTTCTCATCAAGTGCACTCCTGATTGTCGTGTACTTTTTGTTAGGTGTGGAAAATCCCATTGTTTTCTTCGATGTGGACATTGCGGGTCAGACGGTTGGACGTATGAAGTTTGAGCTCTTTGCCGACACTTGCCCCAACACAGCCGAAAACTTTCGCCAGCTATGCACGGGTGAATATCGAAAGGACGGTGTGCCCATCGGTTATAAAAACTGCAGCTTTCACCGGTATGGCACTGTCCTGCCTCGTTGTCGTTCTATGCCTGGGCCCGGCACACAGTGCGCGCCAGTCCTCACACCCATCCTGCTGGTATCGCTGCTCGGCACTCTCGTTTCCAGTGTCATCAAGGATTTCATGATCCAAGGTGGTGACTTTGTCAACGGCAATGGCACCGGCATCGACTCCATTTACGGTGGTGCCTTTCGCGACGAGAACTTTATCCACAAACACACGGCCCCCGGCGACTTGTCCATGGCCAACAGCGGACCCCACACCAATGGCTGTCAATTTTTCATCACCTGCACCAATTGCAACTTTTTAGACGACAAGCACGTAGTTTTTGGTACGTTCTTCATCCGTGGCCATTCTTGAAATCGTGGGATGGATTGTGATGATTGTGAGGGGTGCTGCTTCTTGGCGTTCAGCAAGCCAGCTGCTCGGCGATGTTTTTATGAGCTGAGGGTAGGCAAATGGCAAGCTCCCTCTCCTTCAATCGTGCGATGCATCAAACCGGCTCTAGCTCCCCATGCGAGTCGGGTGGTGCATCCGCTTTTAGTTTGTCACGATTGATAGATTGACGTTTTCTGGTGTTGAGTCTATGCGGCTCCTGCTCATGAGCCGGATAAAATGATCTGGGCGACATCTTTTTTTTTTTTTTTTTTTTAACTTACGTGTGTTACATCTTCGCGCGTTTGTACCATAGGCAAGCTGATTGAGGGTCTGTTAGTCATGCGAAAGATTGAGTCCATCCCCACTGGCCCTGACAATAAGCCCAAACTTGATGTCAAGATCTCTCAGTGCGGCCAAATGTGAGCTTGAAGTACAGCCAACCTGCCAATGTTGACTTGTCATTTATTGTGAATTTTGTGGTGGTTACCCGAGTACGGAAGGGATGGCGCACCGGCATTCAAAGTAGATGGCCATGGCCACCTGGAAGCTACTCGGTTGTAGCACCCAGGTTCCGTTCTTGCCCTGGCGTGAGCCATGTTTATATCACTCCCAAACTTGTGATGATCATCCTCCATGGGCGCTATGCGCCAATTTTCCTTTTAAAATGAATCAGCTTTCCAGAATTTATATGAAAATGACTCCAAGCGCGCAACCATCAACCTCTCATTCCTCGGTATAGATGGGTTGTAGCAATGTACTCCATGAACGTGCAGGACTCAAACGCCTCTTTGAAACATTCCACCACTGGATAGATTATCGAGCTCACATGGATACGCTACAGGTTTCACACACTAGCAACCCGCACCCCACACCAAACCCCGATTCCCAGTTGCCTGCACGCTCATATCGGGGCAGCCGGCTGTCGAAACACCTTGCCGCACTTCTTCATTGTGTCGGTGATAAAGTTCTTGATCTACAGAAGAAAAAAAGGAAAAAAGAAAACCCATTGGCAATTAGAGGTAACGAGTTCATGCGCAAACAGCAACATGCATGCGCGTGCTTGCCTTGCCCTTCAAGCCGTCTGTCATGACCAACTCGTTCACATCCTGCCCCCGACGCTGCAGCTCCTTCTCCACAATTTTGTGCGTCAACTGTGTTGGCCAAAAGTGCCAGTGCACACAGGTGAGCAACTGGCGACGGCAGAGGGTAAACTGCGAGATCCTATCATGTCGTCTAGGAACCACACCAACTGACCTTGCGTGCAAGATACTTGAAGTCCTCACTGGTGCGAATGTAACCGTATTTGACCTTCTTTTCCCGATACGCGTTTAACTGCTTGATGACGCGCTCAGACACCTGTATCAGCGAGACGCACGTCGTGAAATAGAGCCCATGCTGGGCAGCACCAGCGTTTGAATGCTCGGGCTGAAAACGCAGTTGCTTGCGAATCAAGAGGCAAGAGAGTCGACGCTCAAAAAAAGGCTCAAGGAGAAGAAGCAAAAACATCCACTCGACCAGATGCGCGTCTTGAGTTGGCGCTGCATACCTCACTCTTGAACTTGTTGAGCCGTGCTTTGCGCTTGCTTTCCTCCGTCGCCACGCGCTTGGGTTTCGATTGTTGCTGCATCGTCATGACCGCAAACGTGCACACAATCGTAAATGCCCTCGGGCAGATAACGCTGTATTGACTGGTTCAAAAATTGACCCTCAGCTTCGGAAGACCCTTGTCATAAGCGTGACATACCCCTTCTGCAAGAACCTGAGACAGAGTGGGCTTGGCATCCACATCCATTCCCAAGGCTGCCGCTCCCGGAAGTTTGCGCTTGTTATCGCGTCGCTGGATGCGATCAGCCAGGGGTTGGACCACGGGGCGAAGCCAGTTGGTTTCGTTTGTAAAACGATTGAAATAGTAGGACTCGTTGTGCTGCTCGCTGTACACCGAATCCCAATCAGGATGCAGGCTCATGCTGGAGACTGGTGGTTCCTCAAAATACACATGCCATGGATTGCGCACAGACAGACAGCGAAGGAAAGTGAGACCGAGCTCAGGTCATCGCCCAAATTTCCCAAATCTCAGAGCACCGTGCAGGATCACGAAGACTGACACTCAGGAAGATGCTTGTCAACAAACTTGACGGGCAAGTTGGATGGCTTTGGTGGTTCCTAGCACCAGAGGGCATAATTGCAAAATTCACACGTGGCATCATCGTGAAATCACCAGGAGCGCAAGCAAATAAAATGCTCGCGCGCCATCTCGACCGAGCCCATGCCTACCGAAGCCGCAGCCACCATCGACAAGCTGGATGCGCCCGGTGTCCCGGGTAGGCGCGACTGTGCTTCGCGCGCCTGGGGACTATTGCGTATTTCGGCTCGTGCGCGACGTTGGCTCTCAAGCTCCTCCAAATTGCGCACTGCTTGCTCGAGGAGGCCACGAAGCTGTTGAGCTGCACTGCTCACAGACATGGCGTCGTCGCCCGTGATGATTAGGTCCTGCCCGTTGACGGTTGTGCTGGGCAATTGTTCCACCTTGACGTGATGCTGATAGGCAATATCACGAACGATGGCCTACCCACGCGATTGGCTTGTGAGGCGGCTAGTTGGATGGTATTGTGATGGCCCTTGGATATGCCAGACAAGGCGAGCCGCTCGTGGGCACACCAAAAGAAAAAGAGTTCACGTCAAACCCAGCGTACCGAATGAAAGGTTGTCATGTGGCGGGTTGGAACTGCCACGACTTCGCGCAAGTTCTTCTGCTCGGCGCTTTGGCCATTCATAATATACACCTGCCAATATCGACCGCGTCAAGATGAGACCCATACCACGACGCCCAGTTGGACCCGCTGCGATGTATGCATGGGCGGTAGGTACTGACCTCTGAGCGCTCAGCGCGCAAAAGCTCTTTGGCCAAATCTTGGCTCACCTACAGCAACAACGATGTGGCCGGGCCACTGCACACTCAGGTACGCCACCCTTGCTTGTAAACTCAATGCTGGTGCCAGGTACAAGGACAGACCTCGTCGACTGAGTTGGTTAAGCACTGAAGAGTGGGCTCCACCTTGCGGATGGCCACCTTTGTCTTGATGGGAAGTCGCAGGAGAATCTTCAGTGTCTACAAATGGGGGTGCAACCATAATATGACGTTGAGAATGCTGGCAAACCGCTGATACACAACTCAGCGTGCCATCTTGAGAAAGTAGACTGACTTTGCGTTGCAAATTCACATGCTCATCAAACATGTCACTCAGCCAAGAGTGAAGAACAACAAGAATTTTCTTGGTCATGAGGCCCACCAAGACATCATCGTCCGTCGTGTCCTGTCAGCATGGACACAAAATTGGCTGCTGATACCAGAGTACAAGCTTGGTCAAGATTGGCCGCACCAAGGCAAGAAGCGCACCGTCAAGATGTCCAAAAAGATGTCGCGACCCTTGACTTCATCAGAACGCCAGTGGATCATCTCGCGCATGAAGCTCAGCGTGCTCTCAAACGAATTTCGTAGCCCGCCGTCTGGGGCCAGGAGAGGTCGCAGGCGATCGCGCAGCTGGCGAGCAGTGGACATAACAGAAGGAATTGAGAAGATCAAGTAATAGTAGAGCCAAGACACGGCATGGCATCAGAAATGACTCAAGATGGTACAAGAAACAAACCTTGTTGAGCTCACGATCGCGGCCCTTGGCCGATGAAGCCTCAGTCGCACCAGAATCCCGACGCCTGCCCAATACACCAGTGCACTTTGCAGCCCCGCAATAGCAAGCCTGGGGTGTGTCACTTTTAACAACAAAAAAAAAAAAAAAAAAAAAAAAAAAAAAAAAAAAAAGATATGAAAACAAACGGGGAGCAATGGAAGGTTAAAGAATAATCACAGGCTTTGAAAGCAGGCGGTTGGCACGACACTGTGCGGTGGGAAACTGGCGTACCCATAGCGCTCATATTGGTAGTCAAACGTGATTTCCTCATTGACGGCAATATCCCGGATGCAAAAGAAGCCAATTCGCAGAACCCCACCGACGGTCCACTAGCGTAAGGCAAGTGCGCCGTTTAGACGATGCACAAAAACTAAGTGAGAAAGGCGAACGTCGGGAAGAGGAATACGGGTGCAACCTCGGACACAAAAAGGAACAAATGATGCAAACCTTTTGCGTTTCGGCATTGGGGTCACAACTGTGGTTGATGAAGCGCGACACGGCGCCCTTGCGGGTCGCATCAATCACCTATTCGAACAAGCCCAGGTGCGTGTAACCACGGCATGAGCCGCGGAAGCAAGGGGAGGCAGATCTGTGTCTGCTTCAATGGTGTAGGACAGCAGGATGGTGGGATATCAAGGTACAACAGAATGATCTGAACACACCGTGTCTGCACTGAGGGACATAAAGTAGTAATGAAAGCGTCCCTCCTGTGCGTATTCCTGCAATCAAAGAGACAATGAGTGAGCCCAGAATGTCCCGGCTCTTGTTCAAAGAAAGCCGTGGCACGTTTGACGCACAAGTTGGCGCTCGCGAAAGACAGCTTGATCAAAAACTTCACCGCAGTACTCGTAGATGAAATCTCCTCTGCACGCACAAATGGTCATGGCCATGAGGATGACGTCAAGCGCTCACAAGCCGTAGAACAAGGAGCGAGGAGAAAGGAAAAAAAAAAGGTGGGGGTGGGGCCGGGGGGGGCAAGAGGAAGGCGAAGCGCAGAGGCCTGAAACGCACTTTCGAATGGGCTCAAGGGCGCGCAAACCCCAACCCTTCTTTTCCGTCTTGAAAATTTCTACCCTGGCATGTTGCTGTTTCTGCAGACGACGGTTTCGGCACTTGTTGCCACATGGACAACTATCGCACAGGTCAAGACCGAGACCGGGTCATGGCCTCGACAGGTTTGAACACAACCAGAGCGGGAGAAGCATGGGAACGCATTGGTCGGACAAGCGTACCGCGCAACGTTGCACTCAACCATGAGAAGACGATTGAGACAATTGGAGCCGCAATAGCTGTCCTCATCGGCCGCATTTGGTTGGCATTCACACTCCATGTCCTCCTCAAGCTTGTGCATTTTCGCCTTGTAAATGGGGGCTTCGATCTGCTCGTACTCGATCCAATCATTGGCAGTGTAATGCACCGCCTTTTTGTGTTGTTCGCGAAGCTGCTGCAGCTCATCCTGAACCGCGTCCGACCCCGCGCCAGCCTCTGAGGCGCGCGCCGCAGCGGCCTCGGTGATCTCGGCGGCCGCCATGCCAGCAACACACTCACCCGAAGGAAAGCTTCTGCCAATCCAACCGACAAGTCAAATCGCCGCAACATCAGTCCCCACACAAGCACTCCCCCCCCCCCCCCCC